TCTTTCTCGACATTCAGAGTGACATTTTCGACAATAAAAGTTGTTCGGAAACTTTTTATAATGTTGAAAACTTCCTTGTTGTACTTCATTTCTGGAGCCAGTTCATAGAAAAACGATAGTGCATCACTCATGAGCGACAGCAACGGATCACTTTTAACGATCGTAGTCCGGAATCGTTTCAAACGGTTATTCTGAGAAATACCAAAACCTAAAAATCTTTTAATTCCTCTTATTTCGTCCGGCGTTTGCTTAGATTGATTCCATATGCGTATGGCGTGATCAACACACTCAATAAGCACCTGATTATATTTACAGCTCAAGAAAAGATGGGCTATTTGGATTTTAATGTCAACGTTTTTGTTGGTAACTGCAGCAATATTTACGGTATTTGACACGAGAACAGGTTGTGTGCCGTTGTTGTGAAATATAATTTTAAGTGTATTCACTATGTGCCATCTTGGATTTTCTAAAAGGTGTTTCATCCGTTCTACGCGTCTTACCGTCTCCAAGTCGTTCTTTATTATACGAGTAGTTCTTGATATTGGATCAAAACAAAAGCCGGATTCTTTGTCAAATAATCCTATAAACTCAGTTTTTCTATCTTTCACCTCTCCCATTACTGTAAGACTCATATCCTTCATTTTTTTCAAATTGGTCAACTGTTTCTTAAGAGCTTTCCTGGGATATGAGATCCCATAATCTAACTCTCTCAAAGGAATGGGGTCACAAAAACTGTAGTGGAATAACTCGAGACGGTGTAAAATTTTAGAAATGTCTTCATCGATAGCTTGAAACTCCATAACGAACACTTCCTCCGTAGTGCTATAACTATATCTGTCGCAATTTTTCATACCGGAATAAGCCAATAAGTCTTCTAAAATGTCAAATACGTCTTTGTTGAACACAGTGGTTGGGGATAATTGGTAAAAACACGACAGGGCGCCGTGCATACGCAATGCTATGTGATCATACTGTTTGAATGTCCACACCAGATTATCCATACATTTATTTGGATTAAAACTTTTTAAATCGGTTCTCTGACACTGGGCTCCTAGCTCGGCTACGAGGATGTATGAGTTTTTCAGCTCCAAAGCATACTTACAATTCAGAAACTGGTTGGCTTGTCGTAGCTTATACTCAACGTTTTCATTGCTTACAATTTGTCCCTTGCGATTATTTGCAATCAGATCGTACACGTAGAACATCTCTTCGGTTTCCATCCATCGTTCTATGACCCGTATATAGTTATATCTCGGTTCTGGGATTCCTTGCCAACCGGTGTACGTAAGAAGCTCATTCAAAGTGTCCACACGGGTCGCACAAAGTAACGAAACGCTAGAGTAAAATGTATACAAAAAGAGAATACCAGTGATTGCCATTGTTTAATCAAAGCGCACTCGACAGATATGGGATTCATAAAAAACAAATTGTGGCTACGTTGAATATTAAAAACCTAAAACTACATTTACGTTTTTACAATGTTTATCTTTAAAAACATATTTTTATTTAAATCTGTTTGTATACATTTGTATTTTCAAAGTACCTATCCAAATACACAATTATAGTCGATTTTATCAAAATTATTACTATTATGTTCTTGTATTTACAGATGTAAAACAAAAAATGTGGAAAAATGCTTATATATTTTTATGTTTTTAATCGTTGAGGTATTTTTGAGTACAAACAATTGCCTATACTCTACTGTACTAGTCCTCTCGGATAAAATCACTTTCAAATAAACGCTTTGATGCTTATTCAAAACAATAAATTTTACCTACATATATTACTTATTAGTTAAATATTACTAACGTTTATAGCCACTAGCGGTCGACTGTTGCCTGTTATTTAACTATTACCTTTTATGGAGATTTCAAAAATTGTGTTTTTTTAATAATAGTATAGGAGCAGTATCGTAATGTTAAATGTTCACGAGATTTGATCTAGTCATAAAATAAAGTATTATCATTTATGACTTAATTATTATTATATATAACTTAATTTGTACATAGTAATAAAATAATGAAATATTTTATACAAAATTAGAGCTACAAGTTGATAGACTAAAAATTTTAATTAGCACGAAGCAGATTATCTAATATTAGGTAATTTAAACAATCAAGCGTGAATCTCTTTAAATGAATAACAGTTTAACAATATGCAAAACATAAGTGTTTCATTAAAAAAATTGTGTAGTATAAAATACATTTTGGGTCGGTATACTGCATAAAAACCAACACATAATCTGAATCCAAAAAACAACAGTTCTCTTCATAATTTACAGGTAGTTGGACCTTGTATACTCATAGTTGATCTTCGGTAAGGTAATATAACGCGGGCGATAAAATAACGAGATAACAACAGTGGTTTTGTCGTGTCAAAATCATTAAGTATCTTAATAAGTACACGGATCGGTTTTTTTCCCAATAAATCGTGTATCTACTATTATCAGTTACACGATTTAGTCGTCTGTGATATCATGTAATTAACACAATATTATGATACCGACCATTGGGTCCTAACCTAACCTAACACGGGTAGACGTTACCAACTGAGAGTTTTTAGCGCTTGTTCGTTTATCACATCTGGTACACCGTGTTTTTAGTTTAAAAAAAAAAAAATTGAATTTGTGTAAATTGTCAAAAGTGTTACTTGAGCACAAAACTTAATAGTATCATTCTGCATAGGTCTACAAAAAATTTTTTTAATGATTTGATAAAAAAAATTTTAAGATTTTAAGTGTTTTTTGTTAAAATATACGCAATCTGCGAAAACACAGTTTTCCGGCAATTAAAAAAAACCTGTAGTGCCGATTTTGTTTTCCGTTTAATATGATATGAATACATACGAGTTCTTACTACTGACAAATTTTCAACTTAATGGTCTTAAAATTACGGCTAAAAAACTAAAAAAACTTGAACCCCCTCTAGGGGTGTGGCAAATGGGTTTAATTTAAACTTGAGACTCTTTCGAGTGAGTGCATACGAAATAAATATTCCTTTTAAATTTCAACTCAATCCGACTCTTTTTCTCGAAATTATAGCCAGTAAATTTTCTAACTTTAAATCTCGTATGGTTTTTTCAAATTGTATTCCCTCAAAGTACCGACTAGATGAAATTTGCGATTTATAGAGTTTCTATTCGAAGGAATTGGTCCAGTACTAAAAAAGTTACAGTGTATACAGATAAAAAAAAACACACATCAGAGTAAAACTAATACCTTCTCGCTTTGCATCGAAGCCTAAAATATTTCTTTTACATTATAATACAGTTTTAATACTTAGGAAATAACTTTTGAAAGTTTAATTTTTTTTGTATTTCTAGAATAATTTAATATTCGCCAAAACATGATTTATAAAATATCCTACAAACATTGGTAAATAGGCTTTTTTTTAAACAAATAATATTATTTTATATATAACTGATGAGCGTAATCAGCTGGATTTTAAAATTTATTTTTTCTGTAGCAGCATTTTAATATTTTTTTTTTAAACCAAAAGTTAATATCCCTAAAACGTTTTTGTAACAATTATTAAAAATATAATACTTAAAACTCTCACTCTTTCTTACTGTGCTGATTTGGACTGTGTTGGTTTGAACAGCTGTGTTTTGATACCCATAGTTGGGGTATCAATAATTACCTCTAATCATTCAATATATATTTTTTTTTAATTGTGAAGGACTATTTTGTTAGTTTATCATTTTTTCTAAAATTCTATTTTTCCAGGGGCCTTGATGACTTTTTATCGGTCGGTGAAGATCAACTTCAATATGTCCACAAAATTTAAATTGGACTGTTAAAAATAAACAACTATTAGTTTGTTGTAAAAATTGCCTTTAAATTATTCCATTAAATTTAAATTTATATGAATTTTTTGTAAACTAAAAGTCGTTGTTAAATAATTCTACGGTCAAGCCGGTGTTCCTATAGAGTTTATAGTTACTAAACGTATCAGTGCCCATTTTTTTACAAAACATGGCACATGTTATTCTCAAGCCAGTACAATTGTGAACAGTATTGTTACCGACTCCACGAAATAAGGGAATACAATTTTTTTTTTTGTTTACTAAGTAACTACAAGCAACTAACGTAGAATCAAATATAATTATGAGCTAACAAACTAAGAGAGAGAAGTTGTAATATGTAAGCTGTAGGCACTGAGAACAATGAAGAACTGAAATACCTGTTTCTATGGAACAAATTTCATATAAATGTATAAAAGCTTTCATGGATTGAAATACAATATGAATAATTATTCCATAGTCATTTCAAAGTTTGTTTTGTTTTGTTTTGTTCTAAATTACAATTTTAAAATTGTAATTTAGGCAATACAATAAATTACAAATTATATAATAATATATGTTTTTAATTTTCATAATTCATGTAATTGAATCTTAATACACCTAAATTGACTAAACCCAACGTAATCTATTTCTAATTTGATATACATTTCATTAATATTTACTAAACAGATAAATTACAATTTTACTTTATAGCAATTTTTTAATAATTATAGCAACTAATGTCAAATTAAATACACATAGTATATAATTTAATACATTACTAAATTTTGGTGTCCAAGTTTACAATAATATTTTAAAGGGTAGTTGTAACTGGTAAGTTTTAAAAACAAATGATAATTTAATGATGTTTATTTAAGAGAAAAATTACTTAAATAAAATATTATTTGATTGAAAAAAATGATCAATTGTGTGAATAAGCCACCAATAACAATCGAAAAAGGTTGTTAGTTTATTCAAATTTATAATTAGTTGTATTGGTAATTAACAAATATAACAATTTTAAGTTAAGTAACAAAATCACTTTAAAAAGAAATTTAGAATGTAAATAATGCATTAGGTATACTTAAATTATAAAAATAGTTTTTGTTCGAATAATGTTATTTGATTATAATTTTCAAAAACAAATATTTTTTTTATTTCAATAAGTGTCAATCTAAAAACTAAAGCCTAATTTTGATCTTAGTTAAAATCTACAAAACTGTTTAAAATAAAATGTTGATCACTTCGTATGCCGTTTTTGGAAGCTATTAGTGATATGACGTAAATCCAGATTATCCAAAAATCCTAAAGTTATGTTTTGAATTTAAAAATCCGAGTATTACTATTTACTGTTAGTTATACAATATGTTATACACATATTATGTACAGTATAAATTATAAAGATATTTTTATTTTTCAAAAATTCATACTTAATCTATTTTGATATTTATAATAATTGGTAATTATTTCATATCAAATAATTGATATAATTATGTATAAATTAAGTTCATAATTAAAATAATATATCTTTATGGTTTCGACCGAAGTCGGCAATAGACAGTATTTCAACTTAGGCCACTCCAATTTTGCCGCATTTTCAAATATTTATCTGAAATAATTAGTTAATTAAATTATTTATATATTAAAAAAAATTGTTTAAATTAATTGCTCCCTTTGGAAAATGCCGCCCAAGGCAATATACCCATGTTGCCTATGTCTTGCGCTGGCCCTGGTTTAGATTTTTTCTTTTATTGTATTTGTTTTTTTAAGGTAAATGTACAGTTATAACTTATAATTAGTATGTGATTCGTATCACGAGAAATTCATAAACGAATGTAAGTATAGTTTCTTTTTATAAAATCATAGTAAGAGTAAAAATGTATAATGTTGTTATATCATAATACAATGCCAGCAGAAATGAAGTAGTCAAGAAGCCGACCGACAGTGTGACCACTTTAAACAAAAATTAATACTTTTATTAAGTTGTTAAAAACTGTACAGTAAAATAGTTACCATCTATATAGATCATTAGATAAATAGGAATTGCATATGATTATATGACAGTGTGTAATATTACATCTGATAAGCAATATGTGTTGTATCATTTGGTTGCTGTAATGAAACAAATAATTAGAAATATGTACAATAAAAAAAGGTTATTTCGCCGTCTAGTCACACTGGAACTCGCTTATTCGCTTACTTCATTTTAAGATCACTTATTGGCTATTGCGACCCCCTTGTATAAAATAATACTTTCAAAATCGGTAAATTTGGATTCTTGAATTCTCGCCAGTCCGGATTATTCCCATCACCAATGTAGCCTATGCTGATTTGTTCCTGTTGCTAACGAACGTAGGCGTACAGACGAACCGTCTGATCAGTTGGTCTCTCCAACCGTGAAGTCCTAACGCGGAACACACATGCGCTAATGTTGAGTATATACGGTAACGCCACGGTTCCGGCACCCTGTATTCGGCTTTAGGCCGGGTCGACCACAGCGCATGGTCCATAAATCTGTACAAGTCACTGTTGGGGACAGGTTCGTCTTGAGATGGCACTGCCACGTCCACCATGTCCAAGTACCCCTTGTAAGCACGCATATACTGACCGTAGTGCTCCCTTTGTTCGTCGGTTAACGCGTCCGACATTTCATCGTAGTAACCGTCACGTCTGCCTCCGCCGCCCATAATCGATGAATGCGTGTAAAACGATCCTGAAATTCGAGAAATAAAAATGTAAATTTCAAAAAAGCATTCTCTTTCCATTTTAAAATCGAGAAAAACATCCAAAACGTTTTTAAAACAGTCAATACTTTCCAAATTTGTAGGAAATATTTTTTTGACATAGTTCTACCAATAAATGTTGACAAATCAAACATATGTCACAAAACCTTTCCCCAGGGACGACATTTCAGTTTTCTTAGGGTTGGGCAACATTTTTGTCGGCCCACTGTTCATTTACAAATATAAATATTTTTTCCAAAACACTTAGATACAAAACAGTGATAATACAAATATTATAAACCTTCATACCTATTATACTTGGTAGTCAATTCAGACGATTTATTATAGGGTAAGTAAATGTAGGTAGTTGCATAAAAAACAGATAATTTACGGCCTTATGTATCGAAAATTTGACCAGCCCATAAAAATTAAGGGTGGGGCAAATACCCCTACCTGCCCCCCCCACCAAATGACGCCACTGCCTTTCCCCTAGAAGGGGTGGTAGTTTTTTTTATCAAATAAATCTGTAGTCAAACCAGTAGTGTCAAAACCAAGCACGGTAAAAAACCATTAAATTGAGGTACAGTCTCTATAGATTAGGATCAATGTGTTTACTTAAAAGTAATTTAAAATAAAAATTTGACCTATTTCTTGTAGTACACTGTAGACTACCTCTCCGTTCTCATTATGCTTTGACCCTACTATTCCCAGACCACTCTTTACTGGCTTACTCGGATAAAATCCCTTTTAAATAAACGCTTTAATCCTAATCCGTGGATACTGCACCTTACTTTAATACTTTCTTACTTGGTTTGTACTGTACTGGTTTGAACATAACCACAGATTCGCATCGAAGCGTTTATTTGAAAGTGTTTATTACTTTCAGTTGTAATAACCAATGTAGACCTGTGACCTCACCGCCCCAATATGCTCCATCCCTACTATGACCCGACCCCACTCTACTGGCTTTTTAGATGTTATTTGAATTTGTTTGAACATACATTTATTTGAATTGGGTCTTTGTTAAAAAGAAGACGTAAAAATAATAATTTAAACAATTATTTGAATTTTTATTTATATACTGTCCAGGTTCGATGTGATTCAATAAAATATCATACCTGGGTAAAACGAAATCCAACTGACGCCACCGTTTTCTGCTCGAGATCCGCAAGTCCACGCTTGCACTGCTGCTTTTGTAGCCCCATAAACGGCTATGCCCGGCAATGGTACCATAGCGCAATGACTCAGTACATTAATAATCCGTCCTGAACAAAAAAAAAAATTAATTCCTCCCATTATACATTCACTCCTTGTGAGTCTCTAAGCTACAGTTCTAAATATCATCACATTCACTCCACTTCTTCGTCCCAAAATCTTATATCCTAATCTCTAACTACTGTCCTATTTGTTTAACTATCTTACAACATGTCCAAGCCGTCTAAACGTATGAGTTTTCCTCGTATTATTTACTTTGCTTGATGAATTATTGTTTTTTTTGTACTTACAAAAAGAGGGAAAAACCTTTTTAGAGTGTACCTCTTCCTCTTCAAAACTTATGAAATTTTGTAAAAACAAATTCACTGGGAGCTTGAACGATTTTGAATTTTATGAACTTCCATAGCCCCTACCCCTCCCCCGACTTCATCAAGCTACATCTATGGAAGTCTACGAATCACGACTCACCTCGGTCACAACGCACTTTAGGTAAGAGCGATGACGTTAATTCCATTGGGCCTAGAACGTTTACACGAAACTGTTCTGTGATAAGTCTTGTCGTTTGCCACTCGTACTCGGCCATCAGCATGCGAGCCGCATTATTTACCACCGCGTGTAATTCTAAAAATAAAAAGTGTAAACCATTAACCGTGGTCATAGTACTCTGAACAGTGGTATAGCACACCCATACGAAGACCTTGATACTATTGATACCGTTGAAACAATAATATGCTAAGAATCGGTTATACAGGGTGATCCAACTAACGTAAGACACTCATTTTCTCGGAAAATATGAATATTTTGAAAAAACATTTTTTCCTATTCTTTTAGGTATAAGTTTTACTACATTTTTCAATGCTTCGAAAATTTTTATTTTCATCCCTTATACGATAAAAAGGGTCTAAGTTCACGTTTTCAAATGGCAACATATGTTTTTAATTCCATAAATTTGTAGGCAAAAAATTTAAAAATATGTTATCGTTTGAATTATTAATTTTTATCCATCTAGTCGTTAGCTATGACTTTGTAAAGATATTACATTTTCTCTTAAATATTGTTATATTTCTTTGGTTTTCCAAAGACCGGGAGCCAATAAAATACTTATTTATGATCGCATTGTCCGATAGATGAGTACACAGATAACCAAACACAATAAAATGTTTTGTGATATTTTGTTTGACCAGCGTTTCATATTTATAGATTACCGACTTTTCTAACACACCGTCATGACAGGTAGGTTGACAGACCTATATTGACAGCAGCTAACGAATGGCTATTTAACCATAACAATCAAAAACCGTGGTACAAGTAGGTTGATAACTGCTGCTATGATGATAATACAAAATATTATTATCATTAGTTATCATATTTTTCTACTATCTATGTTCTACATTCAACAAGTAACAGCACAGTACAACAGATCATTATTATGCTATTTGAAAATTATAATTTTTAGTTTTTATAGGTAGTAAACAATAGCTTTAAAATTTGGCTTACAATCTCATAAGTGCATACATTGAATAGACACGCGTCGAGAAGCGTTACTATTATTTGTTTAGTTATGTTCAATTTATTCAAAATATGTTCTGTGCTCAAATAATTGTTTTAAACAATTTACACTAAATAAGGAATTTTGGATTTAATTTGCTTACTATTTTAATTCTACAGTAAATATTTAAAATGTTGCTTATTTTACATTTATAACTAACTTTTTTTTATTATATAAACAACTTTATTAATAAAAAATAATGCAATAAAGTGGACTGTGTTTAAATGATTAAGTTGTCTAAAGACTAGATGTTTGTAAACAGTGTTTTAGGAACCTACAACAAAATCACAGTTAAGTTTGAAATTGTATTAATTATCAACTTAATTTAAGCCGGTAGTTCCAAACTGTGATTTAAAGTACTTTTACTTTTTTTTCTGTTTTCCCCATCCTGTTGGCAAAAAAGATTTGATTTTTCTGTAACGGTAAATTTTTCAACATAATTGATATTTCATTTTTTTTTAAGTCAAGTTATTTCTTATTAAGATCCCGTTAATAAAAATATGGATCAATAGTTTGTGACTCAATTACACAAAATCACACAGTGATACTTAAACTTCAGAAATAAAGTTAGGGTTTGTGTCACGCAAACATTAAATTATCAGAACTTGTCTTTTTTATTTTATTAATAACTATTAAATTAAATAGTTTATATGTTCTTATATTTTTATTAGTACTTACTAATTATTATTATAACTTATAAGGTGTATAATGTTATAATAATAGTGATTCTAAAGCCTTTATAATAAAATATGTCTGTTTCAAAAATTTCAAATTGAAAAGTTAATTCTTTTACAGTTGAATCTGCTATTTTGATTTTATGTATAGTCAGTATTTTCTTATTTTTATTATTTTCTTCACTATTTAATATCTAGAAAATTAAAAGCTTAATAGATTTTAGTTGTTTAAAAAGAAAACCATTATTTGATATTTCCTTGTTTACTATACAAATTAAAGTATTGACATTATTAATCTATTATAACGGGTACGTTTTACTAAGATTATGTAAAAGTGGCAATATTAAATCAAAAATAGCCTTAGCTAAATTGTAGTATCTAAATTTAACAATTATTCTGTAATAAAACACATTATTAAGGATTTAAATTTTATGGAATTTGTACGCGACAAGTTTGTCCGATTTTATACACATACATACATGTATACTATATTTATGTATGAACACAAATAATTATAAAATCAATTATACTAACTTATAATGCATAGTTGTTAAAAATAAAATTTGTTTACCTTTAATGATGCAAATAATGGTTAAAAGAATATTTGCTGTAATGCGTATGCGACAATTTTCCTACTTTAAAAAGTTAAAAACAATTTTTATTAATTTTTACTGTGTATTTTACAAAATTTGAACATTGATAACACATAGTCAAACAATTGTGTTGATAAATTTCAACGACAAATATATAGTATAGTATAACATTTAAAGAACAATAATAATCTTTTGTCTGATAACATAAGTATTTAACTAATAAAATATTCATAAACTAATTATTAATACAACAATAAATTTAAAAATTACAAATGTTACAATTTTGAAAATATTCAATCAAAAATATTAAACAAAAACAATATCTATACATTTGAAATTGTTCAACTTCTATAATACTGATTTAAATTTTTTTCTTTTAACAATCGTTGGTAATTAAACAAATCTAACAAAATCAAAATTCAATAAATAAAATTAACTATAAGAATTATCTTAGGCAAGTTCAAAAAAATAATTTACTTGATTTACTGAATTCATTAAATACAAATTAATAGAATTACTACTTTTTAAAAGAGAGAATTATTGTATATTAATAAGTTTAATATAAAATTTAACTTTGATAGCCAAATACCTGTGTCAGTTATAGCTAAAACTTTATGATAAAATATCCGTAATGTATGTCAGACACACAATATATGGGTTATATCATTGTAAGAAATAACTAAACTGAAAGCAGACATTTGAACTACCTTAGATAAGTTTAATCAAATAAAAATAATATACTTACATATTATTATAAATATTGGTATAATCAAGAAGCGATTCCTTGTATGTAGTAGTATGAAATTCATACATTAATTACTGATATTTTTAAAAATAAATGAAACGGGTATATGAGTATTATCAACCCACATACACAAATACATGCATTAATAATTATTTTAAGTTAACACAACACACTTTTCATTCAAATTGCTTAGTGTTGATATTATACATTCACATGAAAAAATGTCACATTAGAAATAAATGTTTTATACTTATAATTTACACCTTGATATATAATTGTAAGGTCTTAGGTCCGATTGGAAAGACATTTCCATAGCAATTGATATGTCATACTCAAAACCAATTTTACATGATAACATTGGTTTTTAAAAGATGAAATATTTTCAGTAAAAAAGCATTCAACCTAAATTAAAAAAGCTAATTGAAATCGTATTGTATTAAATTACCCATTAAACTCTAATAAACTTACCTATTAAATTAATGCTTTATATTTATAATTTACACCTTGATATAAAATTGTTAGGTCTTCAGTCTTGGGTCCAATTGAAAAGACATTTCCATAGTAATTGGTATAGCCTATTCTCAACGCCATAGATATTTCTGACATGATAACATTGATTTTTAAATGATAAAAGATTTTCGGAAAAAAGCATTCAACCTAAAATAAAAAAGCTAATTGAATTCGTATTGTATTAAATTATCTATTAAACTTTAATAAACTTACCTATTAAATTAATGGTGTGTCCAAGAATGTAACGTCAAAATAAAGTCGAGAGCAAATATTATCAATTGATATATTTAAAAAATTATAAAATAACGAGTTATGACATAACTACAATACGCATGCTATCATATTTACTATAAAGTAAAATGTAAATTTACTAACATTTTTTAATTAAGTTTGCAATTTCTCATTTCACTAATGGAAAACGTGTGAACTTCGAAGTCGAAATTTGTTAGCGATGAGGTTATGTACAAATAATAAATATAATGTGATTTTGTACAAATAATAAAATATATTATTGGTACTGGTCACTCGATTATTCCGTGGTAACTGATGCATAGTTTAGATACTAGATTGTTATCCGAGATAACCAGCTAATGACTAGCTCCAGCTAGATTAGGTTAAAGTGTAAAGTCCGTTATCCGTAACAGTCTACCTTTCGTCTAATAATGTATGGTTATTTATTATATCTGATTATGATACGGAATGCGTTAACATCAAATTATTATTATATTTGATGTGATGACCGTCGTAATAAAACTACTTGTCTTTGTCGAATCGAATGAAATTATTAAGAAATATAGACAAAAATTCAAATCTTTACAAAGTCATAAACAGCGAACAAATGGATGAAAATTAAAAATTCAAACGCTAACATCTTTTTAGATTTTTTGTCTTTATATTTATGGAATTTAAAACATATGTTCCCATTTGAAAAAACGAGGTTCGTACTTATTTAACGTATAAGGGTTGAAGATAAAATTTTTCTAAATATTGAAAAATGTAGCTAAATATGTACCTAAAATTTTAGGGAAAAAAAAATTCGCAAAATATTCATACTTTCAGAGAAAATGAGTGTCTTACGTTAGTTGGATCACCCTGTATAT